GCATCTGGGGGCTCAGAGTGGAGACCTCAGAACCCTGCACGGTGGGAGGGCTCGCTGGTTCACGGCTGCAGGAGGCATCTGGGGGCTCAGAGTGGCGACCTCAGAACCCTGCTTGGTGGGAGTGCTCGCTGGTTCACAGGTGCAGGAGGCATCTGAGGGGCTCAGAGTGGAGACCTCAGAACCCTGCACGGTGGGAGTGCTGGCTGGTTCACAGCTTCAGAAGGCATCTGAGGGGGCTCAGGATGGACGTCAGGTGGGACGGCCCAGTGCTCTTCTTGTGTGGTCTCTGCCCGTGAGGTTCCCACTCACACCTCCCACCCCTGAGTCTCAGGTTTAGCTGCATCTGTCACTGATGGGGCCTTTTCTTCATCCTTCTTGGCTGAGATGAGAAGAGCAAAATCCAAATCATTGCCCACCAGATACATGCACACAAATAACAGAGAAATTAAAAACATGTTTATTTAATATTTTTCAGAAACCATTGTGAACAAGCGTCGCTACTGTATAAAGGTATCAGCTTCGAGGCTTCTCTTATGAACTTTTGAGATGGAATTTTCTTCAATTTTGTCACTCTATTTTCTTTTTTTTTTGAGACAGAGCCTCAAACTGTCCCCCTGGGTAGAGTGCTGTGGCATCACAGCTCACAGCAACCTCCAACTCCTGGGCTCAAGCAAGACTCCTGCCTCAGCCTCCCAAGTAGCTGGGACCACAGGCGCCCGCCACAACGCCCGGCTATTTTTTGGTTGCAGCCGTCATTGTCGTTTGGCGGGCCCAGGCTTCGAACCCGCCACCTTAGGTGGTATTAAGCCACCTTAGCCACTTGAGCCATAGGTGCCGAGCCTTGTCACCCTATTTTCAAAAGTTATCTTATTTGATTTGCTTCTGTATCATACAAATTATTGCTTCTACAATTTAAATTACAACACTTTATGTTTCAGATTTACTGGTAGATCCTGAAAGCAATATGGCAATACCTAAACTTAATTTGAAAAGCAAATATGAGACTAGTATAAACAATATGACCCTAGACATATATTTCTTTAAAAAGAAGTTTAACTTTTAGTAGGACATTCTCTTGGCATAGAAAGTTTCGTATTAACTCATGGAAAGACACTTCTGAGTTTCACCTTTCACTTGTCATTACCAGATTTCCAAGCATTTACAAGACCTGCCAATTATAATTAACTAACAAAAACTGAGCGGGCTTTGAGTATTTAGTGGGATTGAAAATAATGTTTCAGGAAATTCCAGTTTACATAAGTTACCCCACATTATAATTTGATTTAAATCAGCCAAAATGAGGGGAACACAAAAGGATGACGTTGAACTGCTTTGTAGACAGGAAGCATAAAGTGATGGATTATATATTTGTTTGGTACTGGTTGTCCAGTCACACATTCTTTGAGAGTCTGAAGAAAGACCTAGTTGGTATTTTTAAGACATTAAAAATAGTATTTAATTTATTAAGTTTTGACAATGAAGTGAGAAATCATTTGGGGGGTTACAGAATGACCATTGTTGTCATGGAAATTTCAAACATCAGAATCATTTCATTTGTATTTAACTCTTATGATAAAATAATAGTTTAACTTATAATCATCTTTGGCAAATATAGACACATTTATTTAACAAAACATAAGTAATTTATGAGTTGTTTATTATTCTATATTTTCCAAAATTTACCTAGCTGTCAGCCCGGCAGCGTGTGATGTGAGCCTGCCACCTGTCCACTGAACACTACTTCCCCAGAGTGAGGGACGTCCAGCCGGTGACCCACAGGCCCGTGTGGGTTGCCTGAGGCCTTTTTTGCTTATCATGGTGGCAGATGTCGCTGAAATCACGCGCAGACCTTTAGTTTGGCTTGTGAGTGATTATTGGTATTCATGTATTTAATGTGTGGCCCAAGATAACCCTTCTTTCTCCAATGTGACCCCCCGACTTAGACCACAGCTGGACAATGCCTGTGGTGCTTTGTCCAGGGCACAGGTTTGTGTTTGCTTCTCATGGGAGTTTGGTCCTGGGGGGTCCCCAGGTTGGTCCTGACATGAGTCTCTCTTTGCCAGAGAAGCCTGGAGTCTTAGGCTGCTGGGGCCTGTCCCTGAAGCAGGGCACATGGTCCCTGGGGCACAAGTCCTCCGGCACTTTCAAAAGGAGCTCTACTGTGTGGTCAGTAGAAAATCAAGGCTGGACAGTGCCAGAGAGAGGCTCTAGTGAGCTCCCAGCAAGGGGGCTCCAGCTGGGCAGGGCGCAGCAGTGGGGGCAAGCTGGTCTCTGGCCTTCGGCAGACCCTGAGCATGCCCTTCCCGGCAGAGCGTCTTTTCCCTTCTGGACGGAACCTGCAACTACTGGCCAGGAGGGACAAGAGACCAAGGGGTCCACAGCTGCTCCAAGTTAGACCCAGCAGCACCCTGTGTAGTGTCCATCCTTCACATATCAAAGCACCAAGGAGTTGGGCCTCTGGCCCAGAAGTCTGTCTTCTCCCCCTGTCCAAGGCTTTTCCAAAATCGAAGGGTCCTTTGGGGCCAGACATGAGCCTCTGCTGAGCCTCATGAGCGAGGGGTCCCTCCCTTCTCCTGCAGACGGCAGGCCAGGGCCCTCACCCCCCATCCTGTCCCCTGATGCCCCAGGGCTGTGCTGGCCTCTTCATTTATTGACCTTTCAAATTATGCCTGTGAGCTGGAAAAACACAGAGACCCATGTTTTGTCATCTGTGAAAATCCTCCTGCTCGGCAGAAAAATGTGTCTCCCTCCCTAGACCATTAAAAAGAGCCCTGCTTTACGTCCGGAGGCCCCTGATGGTCGGGATGGCCACAGGTTTATAGAACCCCCAGTGGAAATACCATAATGCTTTATGTAGGGTTGGTAATTTTTGTTTTATTGCACATATTAAAATTAGTGCCAAAAGATAATTGTCTTTTGATTCTGCTATAAATCATGCTAAATTGCATTCCTCGGGGGAAACAATGCAAAATATATTTTACTTTTCATTGGTTTTTTTTAATTCTGTTTTTGAATATGATATTATAAAAACATCAATTAAATTATTACATTTTAAAGTTTTGATCATTTGAGAAGATAAAAATACCATATTAAAAGAAATCACATACTTCCTCTTAGCATGGTCTTTAAAAAAGTATGTTATTTAAAAAAATTAATTAACCTACCTAAAACATGCATAGCT